CCCAGCAAACCCCACACTCCCATCCATACTCAAGTTCTCATGCTCCTCCCTTCAGGTCCCAAGAAGAGCTATCTCTGCAGCATAGTGAGCTGCCTTTCTTTCCAGAACACACCAGCCTCCTACACAGTCTCCTATTTGTTAAGGACTGTTAACCTTGGCTTCCCAGGGTTTCTCAATTCCAGGGATTCTCAATTCTACACTCTACAGAACGTCAAAGGTATTCTTGCTCAAGATTCCATGCAACCATCACCTCCAACACTTCAGATTTTTAAGCCGGGAAGAGAGTCAGTCCCTCGCGGCGGGACGTGGAGGCCAGGGTCTGCGGGTCGAGGCCAGCGTTGCGGGGCCCCGGTTCTCGGAGGAGGGGACCCTCACCACGCGGAGTCCGCGTGGCTGGGCAGAGGGAAGAGATCGGGCCTGAACCGGGCCTCTGCCTTCCGCCACGCCCTGGGTACTAGGCTTTGAGTGGCAGGGCAGACGCGGGCATTGTCATTTCACCACCCTGCGCTCAGGCCCACAAGAGAGGAACTGGCCCCAGCTAGAAGGTGGCCGAGTCAGGGTGCCTGCAGCTAGTTGAGTGCATTGTGCCTTTTGCCGCTCCTGTCCCGCAGCACGGGGACACTGCATGGCACTTGGTTGCACCGAGCCTTTTGAGCACGTGCTTGCAGAGGCTCGTGACAAGCCTTGTTAGAGAGGTCCTGTCACACCGGGGACCCAGGGCGCCCACCGTGGTTTGGGGCGCCCCTGAGCCCAAGTTAGGCAAGGAAACAATGGGATTCCTGGAGAGACATTGTTCAGCTGTCAGAAGTATCTTAATCAGCTGGCAGACGGTTGCTTTCTACATTTGTTACTTTGTATGCACTTTGAGGGAGGGGCGTTGGATGAGTCTCAAGTCTAGGCGGGCAGTGTGTGGCAATGATGCAGAACCATAATATTTCTAAGAAGAGTTGCAAAGTGTAGCAGGAAGAGTGGCAGTGTCCCTTCAAATGCTCTATTCATCTACTCGGAGGGTCCATGTAAACCGGGAGAGCAAGCTGCCCTTCGAGAGTTGGTTGCATAAAACAAGACTTGGTGGAAGGTCAGATGCAGCAATACCACCATATTGACATCCCTGGGAATACGGGGTCCCGTGTAGCAACTGAAGTTTAAATCATATATATATATATATGATAATATATATATTGAAATGAGAGAGGAAGGGAGAGAGAGAGAGAGAGAGAAACAAATATCAGTGATGAGAGAGAATCATCGATCAGCTGCCTCTTGCACACCCCACACTGGGGATTGAGCCCACAACCCAGGCATGTGCCCTGACTGGGAATCGAACCGTGACCTCCTGGTCAACACTCAACCACTAAGCCACATGCTGGCCGGGCTGAAGTTTAAATCTTGAAATACTTAAAGCTCTTTAGGTAACACTTTAGAAGGACTTCTCTATTAAAGCGTATTGCCTATGCCTTTGCCTTCTGTGCGAAGCTGAATGAATACTGGTCCTGCGGAGATGTTCCCATTCTCAGCCCCGGAACCTGCGATTGTTACCTTTGTAGCAAAAGAGACTTGACAGGTGGACTTAAGCATCTTGCGCTGGGGCAGTGGTTCTCAACCCTCCTAATGCCGCGACCCTTTAATACAGTTCTTCATGTTGTGGTGACTCCCAATTTCATTGTTACAAATTGAACATAATTAAAGCATAGCGATTAATCACAAAACAATATGTAATTATATATGTGTTTTCCGGTGGTCTTAGGTGACCCAAAGGGGTCGCGACCCACAGGTTGAGAACCGCTGCACTGGGGGAATTAGACTGACCTAGAGCAGTGGTTCTCAACCTTGGCTGCACATTATAATCACCTGGGAATCTTTTTAAAATCCTGATTTCTGGGCCTCATCCTCTGGAAATTCGGTTTCTTTGTTATGGGGTGGGGCCACAACATTAGTAACAAAGAAACAGAATTTCCGGGGGATGAGGCCCAGAAATCAGGATTTTAAAAAGATTCCCAGGTGATTCTACTGTGCAGCCAAGGTTGAGACCCACTGCCCTAGAGTATCTGATGGGCCTGATAGAATCACACCCATCCTCAAAGAGAGAGGCAGGAGAGGGACGGGCAGAAGAGAAGGCCATGTGATGATGGAAGCAGAGTTAGAAGATGCTACACTGCCTGTTTTGAAGATAGAGGACGGGGCCACGAGCCAAAGACTGCAAGTGTGACTAGAAGCTGGAAAGGGCAAGGAAACATACTCCCCGGAGCCTCCAGGACGAACCAGTCCTGCCAAACACCTTGAGCTTAGCCCCCCAATGGAACAGGGGGTCCCTCGGGGGTGAGGACGACGGAGCCCCAACGCGCTAGGGCGCTTGCATGCATGACTCCGGAGACCAGGTTCAGAGACACAGATCCAAGTTTATTGAGGAAGTACAGCCATATATAAAGGGGTAAGCTGCCAATAGAACAGGGACACACGTGCTATGTTATCCAGTGGGCGTGAGGGCCAGGGTAAGAGTAGGTGGCTCTTGGAGATTTGTCAGGCGGGCGTTGCCACTTCCTGGTGTGCCAAGGAAGCCTGTTCGCTGGAGTGTGCTCACAGCGCTGCTTCGGCCGCAGCGCTGAGAGAAATCTCTTGAGCTCTGCCCACACCCCAAGACTCATTTTGGACTTCTGACCACCGGGATTGTGAGAGGGAAAAAAAAGTGTGTTGTTTTAAGCCACTGAGTTTGTGGTAATTTGTTAAAAGTAGCCCTAGGGAACTGATAGTTTCTCAGGCAGAGGATGTTGAAGGTGATCGCAATGATTGTTGGTGGTTCTCCACCTTCTTTTAATTTATTGGATGCCATTTAACCTTCTCTTGTTAATCCTGGTCATTTGTTTTGGTTCTCTGACCTATCACAGTGATTTCCTTAGAACAGTGATGGCGAACCTTTTGAGCTCGGCGTGTCAGCATTTTGAAAAACCCTAACTTAACTCTGGTGCTGTGTCACATATAGAAATTTTTTGATATTTGCAACCATAGTAAAACAAAGACTTATATTTTTGATATTTATTTTCTATATTTAAATGCCATTTAACAAAGAAAAATCAACCAAAAAAATGAGTTCGCATGTCACCTCTGACACGCGTGTCATAGGTTCGCCATCACTGCCTTAGAAGTTCTAGGGGTGGAGTAGAAGGAGAGCTTTAACCTGTAAAGCAAACCACCTTGTTATGTTTTTGTTTGTCTATTTGTTTTAGAGAGAGAGAGGAAGGGAGAGGGAGAGAGAAGGAGAAACATCGATGTGAGAGCCAAGCATCCATCAGCTGCCTCCTGCCCATCCCCTTCCTAGGATCAAGCCCGAAACCAGGCATGTGCCCCTGACGGGAATCGAACCAGCAGCCTTTTGGTGCATGGGACGACGCTCAACCAACTGAGCCACACCGGCCCGGGCAGCTGTGCTCTTTTTTTTTGAGTTCTGTTCCCTTGTCAGTTTTCCTGCCTGGGCCTGGCTGTGGCTTTTTTCCTGCTCTGCCTGCAGTTGCCTTTGGCGGGCACTCTGCTTGCCTTTTCTAACCTGCAGACTAGGAAACCAGTGCTGAATAAAACCTGTTTTTTAAAAAACAAACATATTTTATTGACTTAAGAGAGGAAGGGAAGCCCTAGCTGGTTTGGCTCAGTGGATAGAGCGTTAGCCTGTGGACTGAAGGGTCCCAGGTTTGATTCCAGTCAAGGGCACATGCCCGGGTTTCGGGCTCGATCCCAGGAGGGGGCATGCAGGAAGCAGCCGATCAATGATTCTCTCTCATCATTGAAGTTTCTATCTTTCTATCCCTCTCCCTTCCTCTCTGAAATCAATAAAAATATGTTTTAAAAAAAAAAAAAAGAGAGGAAGGGAAAAGGAGGGAGGGAGAGAGAGAAACATCAATGATGAGAGTGACCCATTGATCGGCTGCCTTCTGCATGCACCACACAGGGGGATCGAGCTCTCAACCTGGGCATGTGCCCTGACTGGGAATTGAACTGTGACTGCCTGGTTATAGGTCAATGCTCAACCACTGAGCCACACTGGCTGGACAAGTATAATCTTTTGTGGGGGCGGGGGTTAAATTGATTTTTTAGAGAGAAAGGAAGGGAGAGACAGAAAGAGATAGAGATATAGATAGAGAGAGAGAGAGAAAGAAACATCAATGTGAGAAACAGCAATTGGTTGCCTTCTGCACACATCCCGACTGGGGAAGGATGGAACCTGCTCCCTGGGGATGTGCCCTGACTGGGAATTGAACTCCCCACCTTCTGGTGTGTGGATGATGCTCCCACCAACCGATCCACACCGGCCAGGGCCTGAGTCTAATGTTTACATTGATTGATTGAGTGCATTTACTGGGGTGACGTTGGTTAACAAACCCCAGGACTGGTCACCTCAGGACTGTGATATCTGTCTGATGCTCAGAGGCCGTTTTTCGCTCCTGCCATCTTGGCAGGAGTTTGGTTAGCGGAGCTGAGGGAGCGGTGCTGATCTCTAGTTAAGCACTTGCTGGCAACACACATACAACAGTGGAGTGATCCTTTCAGGATGTGCAGAAGCTGTGATGCCGGGAGCTGACTGAGCTGTAGTCTCATTGCTTCACCGGTGTGGTCTGCAGAGCGGAAGCTGGGGGTGTCCTGGGGGCATGGGAGAAGAGCAGGATCTGCTGAGTTACTGGAACTTTGAGCACAAGCCCTAGGGGCCTGTTAGGCCATTAGAGTCTGGGAAGGCTCTCTCTAAGCCCCTCAGGCCGAGGACTCCGTGAAAGACCCAGTCATTGCGGGCTGGGCTCCAAGATCTTGGTCTTGTCCCAGCAGGTCTGTGCCTTAGGGCGCAACACAACAGAGCCCCTCACCCTGGAGGAGGGGGAGGGCGCTGGGTTGAGGTATCTCCTGCCTATTTTCTCTCGGTAGGTGTCAAGCTAGGGATGCAGTCCATTCCCGTCGCCACCGCCTGTGCCATTTACCATAAGTTCTTCTGCGAGATCAACGTGGACGCCTATGACCCCTACTTGGTCGCCATGTCTGCCCTTTACTTGGCTGGCAAAGTGGAAGAACAGCCCCTGCGAACCCGTGACATCATCAACGTGTCCAACAGGTACTTCCACCCGGGCCCGGGCCTTTGGGGACACTTCCTGGTGTTCACCCAATGGGGAGGACAGAGGAAGGTCCCACTGTGTCCTGCCTTCCAGGCGGCCTTGAACCAGGGCTGGAAGTACTAGCAGCAAAGGTGGCAATGAGCCCGGCCGGCGTGGCTCCGTGGTTGAGCATTGACTTGTGAACCTGGAGGCCACAGTTCGATTCCCTGTTGGGGCACATGCCCAGATATTGTGGGCCCTATCCCTGCGGGGGTGGGGGGCATGCAGGAGGCAGCCGATCAATGATTCTCTCTCATGATTGATGTTTCTAGCTCTCTCTCCCTCTCTCTTGCTCTCTGAAGTCAATATATATATAAAAAAAGTGGGAATGAGCTGGTGGCAGAAGCCTGGAGAGGGTCTATGGGGAAGAAGTTGGACTAGATAATGGGAAGCCTCAAAGGCCAGATGGAGTGGGGGAGGGTTGGTATGAAGAAGTCTGGGTGTCGGGGTGAGGGAGCAGGGAGGCATGGTCCATATACTCCCCTGTATGATGGGCTGACCTGTGGGGCCCACAGAACCCAACTAGTTCAATCTTTCCTGTCCAACACATCTCTCTAAGCTCCCTCATCCTCCGGAAATTCTGTTTCTTTGTTATGGGGTGGGGCCCAGAAATCAGGATTTTAGAAAGATCCCAGGTGATTCTAATGTGCAGCCAAGGTTGAGAACCACTGGTGTAGAAGGTGAGAGAAACCAGTCAGAGCGGCTAAGGAGCGGCTCTGGCCCTGGTGTGGACATCACCTATGGGCCCAAGTAACTGTGTTCCTGTAGGGCAGGGGTGGGGAACATCCGGCCCGCGGGCCATATAAGGCCTGCAATATCATTTGGTCTGGCCCTTCCAAGGCATTAGGGGTGAGTTAATTAAATGATTGACCAAATAAAGCAGGCTAATTTTTAAAAATATATATATATTTATTGATTTCAGAGAGGAAGGGAGAGGGAGAGACAGATAGAAACATCAGTGATGAGAGAGGATCATTGATTGGCTGCCTCCTGCATGCCCTGCACTGGGGATCAAGCTGACAATCTGGGCATGTGCCCTTGACCGGAATTGAACCCAGGACCCTTCAGTCTGCAGGCCAATGCTCTATCCACTGAGCCAAACTGGCTAGGGCTAAAGCAGGCTAATTTTTAAGTGCATCATTTTGTATGGCCTGTGAATAATGTTATAAATATCCACATGGCCCTTGGCAGGAAAAAGGTTCCTCACCCCCTGCTGTAGGGGAAGGATGTGGGGTCCAGCCAGCGGGTGGGCTGCACCGAGGCCCTCAGGGCCCAGGAGAAAGTGATTTATGGAAAGTTACTGACTGGCGGGGCCTCATCGCAGGTCCAGGAACTCTAATCATTAGGGAAGAAAACTGTTCTGTGCTGTTTCTCTTTTAATAAACAGGTTAGAGAAAAAAGCACTGCCCACCTACTAAAAGCACGGCGGGTTCACAGTGTACCTCAAAAGACTAAGAGGAAAACAGGAGAGGGCAGTGAGGGAGGGCGGCAGGAGTCCACCCATAATTGCCAGGCCGCCAGCAGGGAGCACTGGCAAGAGGGGAAATTGTATTGATCGCTAATTGGACACGGGGCCCAGGTGGGGTTCTGTGGGAGCTGGAAAATGAGTGAGGAGCTAGGAAGGATGAGTCACTGGCAGAGAGGTTTTTAGTTTTTTTTAGAGAGTGGAAGGGAGGGGGAGAGAGAGAGAGAGAGAGAGAGAACACATTGATTGGTTGCCTCCTGCACCAGCCTCCTTCCCTTCTCTTCTGATATAGCTCAGGAGCTAAGAATAGTTCTTACGTCTTTTTTTTTTTAATGGTTGAGAAGTGAAACAAGAAATATGTTGTGACAAGTGAAAATTATAGAAAATTCAAATTTCAGTGTCCTTAAATTTCATTGGAATACAGCCATCCCGTGTGTTAATATTTTCTGCAATATGGCTGCTTTCATGCTATAACAGCCGAGTTGAGTGGTTTGGATAGAGACTGTAAGGTTTGAAAAGACTAAAATATTTACTATTTGGCCCTTTACAAAAAAGTTTGCCAATTTCTGCCTTAT